GTCCTCGCTCCGCGCAACAGCCAGAACAAGACCAAAGCCAGAATGTCTCGTTACGGCTTCTCTCGTGGGGGCCTGTCTCCCTTCGGGTCCACTCTTGGTCAGACGGGAATTCCATCCGTCACCGAAGAGGACTTCAGCTACATTACTTCCGAGGATCTCGAAACTCTCGACGTCCCTCACGGCCACAGCCATCGACATCACGATACAGACCAATACTCCCACTCGGCGCCCGGGCCCGCCCCGAGCTTCGGCCATCGCAAGCCGGCCGACGATGTCATGCTGATCAAGCACGAGGGCGTCACCTATCCCGAACATTTCCCAGCTTACTCGATCGGCGATGGCAAGCTGCAGGTGGATGACGTGATGCAACGGGTTCAATGGGTGCTGGGGCTTACGAGTCGCGAGGCCCGGGGCATCCGTCTGTTCTACAAGGGACACCAGCTCAAAGAGCCTCGAGCGCCAGTTCGAGACTATGGAGTGAAGAACAACAGCGAGGTCATGGCGGTGCGTGTCGAGGCCGTCGGAGGGAGCAGCAGCGGGAGCAGCGAGGAGATTGTCGTTGTCGGGCGCGAGGGACGCGACGATTACGACCCTCCGAAGAAGGCCCGAAGGGGCAATCGCAGGGGCAGAAGGGAAGAGGAGAGAAGCCCGCGATCAAGCGCGCCCAATGTAGGGCTAGAGGTCCCGACCGAAGACCCTAACCGGAGAAGCGTCTCAAGAGTCCGAACGCAATCGCCCTCGTCGCTGTCCGCTGTGTCGGCGGCCAGCGCCTCCGCCGCGATTCCCGGCGGTCCGATCGAGAAGGTGAACGCCATCGCCGTGCAGTTCGACACGAAACTGCGTCCGCTGTGTGACAAGTTCCTCAACAACCCCCCATCAGATCAGAAAAAGAGGGAGGACGAGCACAGAAAACTCACCGAAACCGTCATGGCGCAAGTCATCCTTAAGCTGGATGCCATTGAGCCTGCGGGAGAACCCGGTGCGAGGGAGAGAAGGAAGGAGTTTATCAAAGAGGTCCAGGGTATCCTCAAGAAGATGGATGAGGTGAAGGAGGCTCGAGCGAGTCGATAACCGATCACCATGATGGGAATCAGGATGATCTAGTTGGGATCTTTTCTCGTCTCTTCGATCTCGATGTCATTTGGCATCCCAGTATCGCTGTGTTCACATTAATCGACACTGGCGTCGTTCGACGGCCGGCCAGGGGAGGCAGTTTGTGTTCTGAGCCAGAGAGCGGCATTGCATCACAGGAGTTGTTAGCATGATGATAATACTTGCGACTTTGAGATTTAACCACTCCATTTGTAAATCCGGCCAGCATCTTGGCATCTAATGATATTTACTCATTTCGTGAAACCAATGCGAGGGAATGAGACCTGCGACGACCTGAGAGCCGGCTTTCACCGTGGTGAACGGGCAAGATGGGGAAACGGGTCTGGGGTGGTCGGAATTCAAGTGGGGCCGCCATCTGCAATTGGCGCTCCCCACCAATTTCGTATTGTAGGTTTAACCCTACCCTCAAAACCTGAGGCAGCAATTGGTGGCTCACCCGCTGCCACCGCCTTCGCCCCATCTGGCTAGCGCCATTTCTGCCACCCTCAAGGCACACGGCCAATTTTCGACACACACAATTCTGGCGAAGACCATCAACCATCGCGACGGTAAGGAGCAGCCAACTTCGCTGCCATTTGATCAGCCGGAGTTTGACTGACTGATCACCCTTCCTTTTTCTTTTCCCTTTCTTCCTTCGAAGCCAGCGGGAAAGATGTCGTCGTTCGAATCAGTGGTACGTGTTATCCCGCCGCCCGCCTTCTCGAAGCCATTCCCTCCGCAGCGATCGCGACCTCCGCGCTGCATGCATTCCGCACGACAACAACAATCAATAATCCGCATTTTCGGGGATATTTGGGAATGGAGAGCTAATGCGGCTTCTCGTAGGTCGTTATCGACGGCAAGGGCCATCTCCTTGGCCGCCTCGCCAGCATCGTCGCCAAGCAGATCCTCAACGGTCAGAAGATCGTTGTCGTCCGCTGCGAGGCCCTCAACATCTCGGGCGAGTTCTTCCGCGCGAAGCGTACGTAAACCCATATCTACCGCGATCCAGATTGCCGCAAGAGCGGCCCGACCACCAGCTCAATCGAAGCGGAAGAGGCGGCCGTTCATGCGGGACATTTGGAACGATGGGGGAACCAGACTGACAGTTGCGTGCAGTCAAGTACCATGCCTATCTGCGCAAGATGACCCGGTACAACCCGACTCGCGGTGGTAAGCTTGACCATACCAGAATACCAGAGCGAGAGGGTCGATGCTGACAATGCTCTCCAGGTCCCTTCCACTTCCGCGCCCCGTCCCGCATCTTCTACAAGGCCGTCCGTGGCATGATTCCCCACAAGACCGCTCGCGGCGCCGCTGCCCTCGAGAGACTTAAGGTCTTTGAGGGTGTCCCTCCCCCGTACGACAAGAAGAAGAAGATGGTGGTTCCCCAGGCCCTCCGTGTCCTCAGACTCCAACCCGGCCGCAAGTACTGCACCGTTGGACGGTTGAGCGATGAGGTCGGCTGGAAATACAAGGACGTCGTTGAGAGGTGCGTCCGAATTTTGTTCCTGCGGTTATGTTTGGCGAAGGGGTGGGAAATGCTAACGGGGCCACAGACTCGAGGAGAGACGCAAGGCGAAGGGCGCTGCTTACTACGAGCGCAAGAAGTTGGCCGCCAGACAGCTATCCGAGGCGAAGAAGAGCGCGAAGGTCGACAAGAAGACGGTGCAGGCCCTCGAGGCCTTCGGCTACTAAATGCTGCAGCTCCCGGCACAACGTTTCTGCCTTTGTATGCGATTTCACTCTAGATTGGCGCGGTGGGACAGGGCATGACTTCATTTGCGAGGACGGTTGGGGGGGTTAGGCAAAGGCTCTCTGACATTCTGTGCGCCCCGGAAAGGGCCTCATCAAATAAATGAGATCACACCAATGGAGATGAGCTTGCATGGATCAAGGAAGAAAAAAATACCCAGTCTGGTCGAGCTCAGTGATGACGGTTAGGATGCTGTCACGAAGTGGATAGCCCGGCGAACGCGGTCGCTCTTGCGGCCTGCAACGCCGGTGGTTGCACACATTAATGCTGAACGCATGACTAATACGAAGATTCACGAAGCCGTCCATACATTCCTCGCCATTCTTTCTTGTGCCCAGTTTTGGTCCGCCGTGGTGGAATGTGTGTCGGATCGCCAGTACATGTGGTCGTACTCAAGCCCAAACGTTAAAAGGGAAGATGACGTGATGGAGTGCTCCAGGACCAGTGGTACTCGTCCACCAACACAGTTGTGCTCTCGATCGTTGACTTGTTATCCAGTGGCTGGGAACTATTCTTGAGCGTGAGATGTTGAAACTTGAGCAGAGACAAGTATCTTGGCTTGGACGGAATATGGTACGGCTATTGAGGCGTGGTGATTAACTGCAGTGATCTCTTGGGGTGGATACGTGGCCGGCTTCATGTTATATATGCATGTCCGGCAACCGTGATTGCTTGTTGGGTTTGGAGTTAGATTTCTGCTCTGGGGTAGTTGTTTCGAGGTTTGCGTTTTGTGAGGTTGTGGTTACCTGGACTTGAACTTGGACCTGTCTGGTTCATGTCTTGTCCGGATAGCTGGAGGAAATGGGTCGTGACTAGCTCATGGATGGCTGGGTTTGTGGATTGTAAGTTGCAAAATGTGTCCTTGAATCGAAATCCGCATTCGGGATCTTTAGGTGTTTCTTTTCAACTTTTTTTGGGTGAAGATGTTTGTTCGATATCTCGAGAATATTCCCCGGGCTAGCGAGTTTGTTGCTCTGCTTGTTGTCGAGTCAACCTCCCCACGCTGAAGAGGAGTGTCCTTTTTCATGATGATATCTGAAGGGGTTGTTCAGCAGGTAGTAGGAAAGGCGGGCAAGTTTTATTCCGCAAGGGTTTCGGATGAGTGACGAGTCTTGATTCCTCGAATTCAACTATCAATGACTAATAATCCGTTTCAAAGAAGTTTCTCCTTCTTGCAAAATATATAGCTACAAATCCAGCGGATTAATGTCTTTCGAACTGACTCGGGAGTTGTTTCAAAATATTTTGGGCCAGTGCTGTCTGTATTTTCTGTTGAGACGCGAAAAACAACAACTAAAAAACGACAACACCTTGCCTCCCACACCACCAAAAATCATTAGGTGGGCAATACATGAAAATGCATTCTCTGATTAATTACGAAAACCAGACTTCTCATTCGTAGCTGGTCCACTGCCTCTGGCAACTCGGCAAATGCCCAAGTAAAGGCAGAAAAACCGAGTCATAGGGTGTCATATCTGCACAGTTGATACCATCTCTTCGAGCCGATTTCTACAGCTCTTCACCGTCTGCATGTGAGGATGCATATGTACCTACTCAACAGGTTCCTAGGTAACGTTGACTGAATATCTTTAAATACCTAGGTGTACACTCCCAGAAAACGAACCACCAGTGATACGCCGAAGAGAAGAAAGTTACCGTATAGCTTGCTTTTCTCCCCCCTCCCCCCATAAAGAACATGTGAGATTCATTAGTTACGCATGTATGGATTTACGAGAGGCCAGACTTACAAGTCGACCTACCATCTTGAGAGTACAGCATCCCAGCATTTGTACCTCTGGACTGGGTATGTCGAGGTGTTGTTATGGATTCTATCATTGACCCGAAGATGTCCCTTGGGCGGGAAGAGAACACCGAGAACTCATGACCAAAAAAAGTTGAAGACCCCTCTTCATCCACCAAGTTAGTTCCAAAATGTGGGCAACTAACAATTTCTTTGTCCTGCTCGTGGGAGACATTGGGACGTAGACTTGGTACATCGGTCACATTTTCCACACCCTCACTCGGGGCGCGGGAAAGGGAAAATCGAAAACGGAGGAGGTGTTGATGCAGACACAGGTGACGACAGAAAAAGAAAGCGAATCCATCCTCATCCAGTTGCGGAATACCTAAAGACAAAAAAGCAAAAATGGAATGGGACTGGTGAGACTCGAACTCACGACCTTTGGATGACTCCGATGTCTAATCGGATCACAACAGTTTTATGAGACCAACGCTCTAACCAACTGAGCCACAATCCCTACACCAAGTTATTTGCTGAGATTGGAAATGGGGTACTTGAATGCAGCGCGCATCTACGTCAACAAAGGGAAATCAAGTGGTTCGCTGTCCAATGATGCATGCACATCATCACCAGTGACCAGTCACTGCAGGTCCTTTACCACCAGCACTACTTCCCGTACGCCGGAGGGCACTTATCCTCCCGCTAACGTGTCTACTCCGTACTACAGTGGTTCTGGTAATAACGAACACCGAGACCTAAACTTGTCACCAAGAGAATTTCGTTCACAGTTCCCCGTGCACAGAAGCTCAATTCTCAACGCTACTTGGATGACTGGCCATCTCTCGCTTGTCTATCTTTGCCGCTCCCAGTGTGCAGCCAATTGGCGTAAGGGTTCTGAACATGATGGTATACTGCTACATTACAAATACAGACCCTCCGGCTCGCCCTCCTGCTTGGTGCGCAGGACCCTCTCACGAGCAGCCCGGAAGTCCGCCATCTGCACCCGCATTCTGCGCTCCCGGAGAGCCATAAGACCAGCTTCGGAGCAAATGGCCTTGATGTCGGCACCCGACAAGTCGTCCTTCTGAGCGATGAACTCCTCCAGATCAACGTCCTCGTTGAGCGACATCTTGCTCGTGTGCAGCGTAAAGATCTTGCGCTTGGTGTTCTGGTCAGGATTCTCAAATAAGATCTTGCGATCGATACGACCTGGCCGAATAAGAGCTGGATCCAGAGTCTCGATCTTGTTTGTAGCCATGATGACCTTGACGTCACCACGGTCATCGAAACCGTCGAGCTGGTTGAGGAGCTCCAGCATGGTCCGCTGGACTTCACGTTCACCCCCAGACGTCGAGTCGTAACGCTTGGTACCGATGGCATCGATCTCGTCAATAAACACGATCGACGGTGCATTCTCGGCGGCAACCTGCCCATGGTTAGCGGGATCTCGGGCCTGATGGGAATGAGCTTACCTGGAAGAGCTGCCGGACTAGCCGGGGCCCGTCACCCAGATACTTCTGAATCAGCTCGCTACCCACAATGCGCAGGAAAGTGGCAGATGTCTGATTTGCGACGGCCTTGGCCAACAACGTCTTGCCGGTACCTGGCGCGCCGTAGAGGATAACTCCCTTGGGCGGTTTGATGCCCATCTCCTCGTAGAGCTCGGGATGCAGCAGAGGCAACTCAACCGACTCGCGTACTTCCTGAATCTGTTGCTCGAGACCGCCGATATCCGCGTATGACTCCGTGGGCGCCTTGTCCAGTTTCATCACGCTAACCAGCGGGTCCGTGTCGTCCGTCAGGACACCAACAATGCTGACACTCTTGTGATGCAGCAGCACGCTGGCACCTGGCTCGAGCAGGTCCTTGTCGACAAAGCTCATGATGCTGACATAGTACTCCGGACCAGTAGTGCTAGAGACGATAGCGTGGTCGTCATCAATCATCTCTTCGAGGGTTCCAACACCCATCGGGCTGCCTCGCATGTCGTCGACTCGGCCGCGCTCATCGGCATTCCGATCCGAGGCCTCGAGCTCTGACGTGGGTGCGTTGCTATCCTTTGCCGCCTTGGCCTTGCGGAGACGCTCTTGGTTTTCGACGTATTCCTCCTCAAGCAGAAGGTGGTCGTGGATGCGCTGCATGCGCAAAAGTCGGAGCTTGCATCGGCTCGTAGGATAGACCGGTGGTAGTTTCGCGGCAGCACTGGTGCCACCAGCCTTCTTCTTCTTGCGCCCGATACGAGTGGTAGGTCTCGGGGGAGGCTCGTACTTGGGCTTGTCCTTCTGCATCGTTTGTCCATGATCAGCAACCTGCATTTCCCGAGAGGTGCGGGCGCATAGTTCAAACCTTTTTGTCCTTGTCATCTTTGCCCTCCTGGCCGCCCATTCCGGATTGATTCTGACCCTACAGCGACAGTCAGCAAGCGTGGTCCAACAGCTCTGCCCGACCGACGAACCATAGTTGTGGCGGCGCCTCACGGCGTGGCGAGGATTAAATGGGATAAACTGGATAACTGCGCGCCAGTTGCGAGAGGTGATGTGATGGAGAGCGACAATGGTCGGTCGTGGGATGTTGTGGCTGTTGCGAAGTTGATGAAGCTGAGCTCGCCTCGTTGGAACTTCGGAGGTTGCTGCAGGCGCCCAAGGGAACGCGACGACAGCGCACGGGCCAGACGGCGGGAGCTGTGGCGTGGGCTAAGCTGACTGACCAATGACGACAACCGATAAACAGCCTCATCCCAGCTCCGGAAGCCGAGGCGCACTGCAGCACAGGCCTGGCCTGGCCAGCAGGGTGGCAGGCAAGTGGCAGGCCTCTCTCTCTTTTGTTCAGCGCCAGGCATGAAACAGCAATGCGGTCGCTGTCTCCATTTGCTTCCCACCAGTTCCACGCGGAATTCACGGCTTTGGCCTTTTTGCCTTTGAGAAATGGGCTAGAGTCAAAATAAATAAGGACCACAGCCCGAGCTTTTCGTCAGGACCATTCAAGGTATCTGTCACTCTTGCATCGGAAGCAGCGAGCACCTGTTACCTTAGCACCAGCGGTGACGGAGTTCCAAAGCTCAACCACGTTTCTTACCAACCTGCATCGCATCGCTACAGCAGTGCAGGTCTTGCGATCAACAGCGTCCTAATTCAGAATTTCCCTATCAGACCCCGAGCACAAGGCTTTGGCGGCCTGACTGGGTCCATCTGGCGCGTCGACTTGGGCTTGCAGATTACCCCTCCATCACTTTCTCGGTTCCCCTCCAACAGCTTGCCGCTCTCGCGTTTCCTCCACGAACATCATCCGAGGGGCCACACCTCTGCAAACCCAACGCCTGATTTCCTTACTCTTCGCAAGGGAATACGACCACCATGACCAGCAGTCGCGAGCGTAGAGTTGCCAAGGAGCTGGCTGACATCCAGCTCGACCGCGACAACTCGGGCGTCCTCGCCCATCCCGTCGACTCGTCGAATCTCACCCACCTCAAGGGCACTTTCCCAGGCCCTCCCGACACCCCCTATGCCGGCGGCACTTTCACCGTCGATATCGTCATTCCCGACACGTACCCGTTCAAGTCGCCCATCATGAAGTTTGACACGCGAATCTGGCACCCGAATGTCAGCAGTGTCACGGTAAGTGCTGGCCTGACGAGGGGGGGCCGGCAAGGCTGCAGCCGTCTGCCCACCGTGCCCCCTCTCAAACCGAACAAGAACCTTTCTACAGCCGATCGAGCATAAGAGTAAGGGCCCTCTTGGATGTGCAGCTAACATGGTGTCCGCCATCTAGGGAGCTATCTGTCTCGATACCCTCGGAACCGGCTGGTCCCCCGTCGGTACCATCAAGATGGCGCTGATCTCGCTGCGCATGCTGCTCGAGTCTCCCAACCCGAAGGATCCGCAAGATGCTGAGGTGGCCAAGATGATGATGGAGGACCCCCAGACTTTCGCTCGAACCGCACACGACTGGGCCGTTCGGTACGCCGGTGCTCCGCGGAAGGATGAGGTCCCGCATAACTACACCGCAACTACGACTGTCGAGAAGAAAAATGATGACCCTCGGAGGTGCGCTCGCCGCTCACAATCTGGCTCTTGGGTTCATAGAATACGGGTTGGCTGACAAAAGGCAACAGGTATCAGGGCTACAATAGGGACCTCGTCGACCGGTTTGTCAACATGGGTTTCGACGTGGATGCCGTCGTCGACGCCTTTAACTTTGTCGGCATCGACCGGAACAACGGGGAAGATTACGAGCTGGAGGAAGCCTACATGGGCGATATCACGGCCAGACTTTTGGGCGAGCAGTAGCTGTTCCTCTGGCGTGTCACCATCGGTGTGGCTCTGGGGATGACTGCCTTGTTTTGCCTGGCTACCGGCTGAATGTTTCCAGGCCGTTTCTCTTGGCGGTAAAGGAGGAGAATGGCAGCGTTTCTCATGGGCGAGGGGGTAAAGCTTAGCGGATGGGATGGGAAGGGGGCAGCATTGCTTGATGTGATGGTCTTGCCCAAAAGCATCGGGACCGGAGTTTCACGGGCACAACCGGCACAGGGAGGGCGAATTTGGCTTGTTCTGTTTCTATTTTATAGCACGGATTTTTCCGCCGCAATTGCGGTCCGGAGTATCTCGGTTTACTAGAGCTAGCGCCTTTCCAAGAAAGGGGGAAAGCCAACAATTTCGATGCCATGATCTTGTGATGTCGTCCCAGCAACAGTGATTTGCCCCTGATGATAGAATGGCCAGCATCTTCTGACCGAGATGAATAGTGCTACCATATTTCACTGGTCACCTTGAGCTGGGATTGTTGTCTTGATGGATAACGCAACATGCAGGACAATTCGGAGCACAGGCTTGCCATGCACGATATGTTTTTGCCAGACCGCCATTCCCTCCAGTCTATAAGATTCGCAAAATGGGTAATGCACATAAAACAGAACGACAAGAACAAGCTCTACGGGCTTGCGTCCTTAGCTCCGTCTGAGACCTTCCTCCACCGCCCATCAATTAGTCATGCCTCCCTACCTAAACAGGCCAGGGCTGGGCCATGCACACCTCATACACGGGACGCTTCTAGGGAAACAAGGGAGTATCAAGCACATGTACAAAGTTGTCGTCTAATTCTCCACCGATCCACTCCTCGAGAGTCGCAAACCTAGAGCAGGTCCCGCCGGACGAACTCGTCGCGCAGGGCCTTACCCAAGCTGGCGGGAGAACGCTCGACAATGACACCGGCGGCCTCGAGGGCCTTGATCTTGGAATCGGCACCGCCCTTGCCGCCCGAAACGATGGCACCGGCGTGGCCCATGCGACGGCCGGGAGGGGCCGAGATGCCGGCAATAAAGGAGACGACGGGCTTGCCGCCGTTGACCGTGTTGTTGGCCTTGAGGAAGTCGGCGGCGTCCTCCTCGGCCGAGCCGCCGATCTCGCCAATCATGATGATGCCGTCCGTCTCCTCATCCTTGAGGAAGACCTGCAGGCAGTCGATGAAGTTGGTGCCGCTGAAGGGGTCGCCGCCGATGCCGACGACGAGCGACTGGCCGAG